AATTACTCATGGCTCAGCATCCATAGCACAGAGGTTACGGCGCCAGCCACATACACCAAGGCTGCAGGTTCAAGCCCGGCTCAGACCAGCTAAACAACAAATGCAATAAAAAATAGCCAGGTACTGTGGCAGGTACCTGTAGTCCCAGCTACTTGGGAGGGTGAGGCAAGAGAATCACTTGAGCCTAAGAGTTTGAGGTTGCTGTGAGCTGTGACGCCATAGCCACAGCACTCTACTGAGGGTGACAAACAGACTCTGTCTCAAAAAAAAACAAACAAAAAAAAACCAGGCCACTAACCACATCTCTACCTTCAGGAACAGCCATGGCCCTGCAGATGACAATACAGCTGCTGCTCCTTCTAGTGGGGGTGGCTGCAGAAGGGGGGCCTGGCACAGGACTACTTGGGCTAGGACTGAGCTTCTCAATGTCTGTATGGATGCCAAGCACCACAAGGAAAACCCGGGGGATGAGGACAACTTGCATGATCGGTGCAGTCCTTGGAAGAAGAATGCCTGCTGCTCCGCCAACATCAGCCAGGAAGCCCCCAAGGATAATTCCCACCTGTATAACTTCAATTGGGACCACTGTGGAGTGATGGAGTCCATCTGCAAACAGCATTTCACCAGGACACCTGCCTGTGAGTACTCTCCTAACTTGGGGCTCTGGATCCAGCAGGTGGACCAGAGCTGGCAAAAAGGGCGGGTCCTGAATGTGCCCCTGTGCAAAGAGGACTGTGAGCACTGGTGGGAGCACTGTCGAACCTCCTATACCTGCAAGAGCAATTGGCACAAGGGCTGAACTGGCACTCAGGGCATAACCATTGTCTAATGAAAGCTGCCTGCCTCCCCTTCCATTTCTACTTTCCCACACCTGCTGCTCTGTGCAATGAAATCTGGAGTCACTCTTACAAAGTCAACAACTACGGCCAAGGGAGAGACCCTTGCCTCTAGATGTAGTTTAACCCAAACCACGGCAACCCCAATGAGAAGGTGGCAAGTGGGGCTGGGCTGCATGGAGCCTGGGCTTCCCTGCTCAGCCTGGCCCTCATGCTCCTCCTGCTACTCTGCTGACCTTCTTTGCCCTCTGATAGCTGAACATCCCTGCCCTGTTTGGCCCCACAGCTCCCAGCTACTCACTTCCTACTCCATGGAAGTACCTCTGACAGCCAGTTAAAATAAACCAGACAGTCCCAAAAAACAACAACAACAACAACAAAACAATAAAATGCCATTTTTATATATTGAATTGACAATGATTAAAGTTTGATAATACACCATGTTGCTGAAGTTATGGGGAAAATGGCACTCTCAAACACTGTTACTGGTATATTTCTGAATGGAAACCAACAATATCTATCCAAATTAAAAATATTCTTTGACTTAACAATTACACCCACTAGAAACTAATCCCTATACTCCCACAAGTGCACAAAGACATATAAAAGAATATTCACTGCAGTGTTGTTGGTAATAATGAAAGATCAGAAACAACCTAAATGTCCATGATTAGGTGGGATGTTAAATAAGTAACAGCACATTTATATATAGGAATAGGTGATGGTTTGAAAATTATCACAAAGATCTATACGTACTGATATAGAACAGTCTTCTAGATCAGTTAAACAGCCTACTCAAAAGAATATTATATATATACATACACACTGTGTATATTATATATAATACGCACTGTGTATATTATATATATACACACACACACAATTATATATATATGTATTTTTTTTTTTTACATATACACAGACTATTACTGGAAATACACAAAAGAAACTGGCAAGAATGGCTGCTTCTGAGGCCCTAAAACAGAAAGGAGAGTTTTAACTAGCACTGTTTGAATTTTTTTTAACATGGATTTGTGCTGGCTCTTTTATTTACTAACTATAAAACTTAAGTCCCTAATTCTGAGCCTTTAGTATCCTCCAATTCGAAATGATGACAATAATAGCCTAATTCATTGGTTACTGTGACTATCAAATGAAGGAGTATGAAATGCTTTGCAATTTATAAAGCAGCACACAAAATTATAAATTAGTCCTCTAAGTGAATTCTCCAAACCAGTTATAAAAATTATTGTCATTCCTCTGACCAATTTCTCTAAACCCAAAGACGAAAATGTTTAAAATGAAATCTAAGAGCAGATACTTCAGTTACTAGAAAATTTTTAAAATGTTGCCAGATAGAAATGCTAAATCAGATAATTACAGAAGGAATACCTGTTCACTGTTGTAAACAAGGTAAATAAAAACTATAATCATGCTTTCATAAAAATCTTAGTGTTTTTTCTTCCCGTCTTTTTTGATTTTTTGAAGACTAAGTCTCCCTCTGTTGCCTGGATAGAGTGCAGTGGCATCATCATAGCTCAGTGCAACCTCAAACTCCAAGACAGAAATGATGCTCCTGCCTCCACCCTCTGAGTAAATGCCCAGCTAATTTTTTTCTATGTTTGGAAGAGATGGCTGGTCTCAAACTCCTGACCTCAAGCAATCCTCCTGCCTAGGCCTCCTAGAGTGCTAGGGTTACAGGTCTGAGCCACCATGTTCAGCCTTCCAGTCTTTTTCTATGCATGTTTAACTCGATTAGATTGTCTAAATAAAAAGTTTCCACTTCTTTGTAATAAAACATTCAGATTACAACATTCTTCAGATTATTATAAACTCCCTAATAAACATAATTTTTAATGAAGTCCTATTTGTTGATGAGAGTTCAATTGCTTTAAAATGAAATTCCAGCATATGAGCCTATCTATTAAACTCTGCCTAAATTGACTTTTCACTTATTATTTGTACCAGTTCTCCAAGTAACAAGATCAATTAATCTCTCTCTCTCTGGCCTTATTCTTACTTTTGGTTTCTAGACTTCAATTTTATTAAGCCCAAAACTCACAAAACCAGTGCATAAAATACTTTTAATTCTTTGAAAAACAAGTAAAACACCTTAGAGCAAGCCCTTAAAATCAGACTATTAGAGTTAACAGAGATTCAGAACTATGATTCCTTGATGAAGATGCTCAATCTTTTTCTTCTACATGTTACCATGTTATTAGTGTGATATCTGCAAATAGAGTAAAAACAAAGGAATATACTTTTAAGATTATTCCTGGGAGGGCAGCACCTGTGGCTCAGTGGGTAGGGCGCCAGCCTCATATACCAAGGGTGGTGGGTTCGAACCCAGCCCCGGCCAAACTGCAACAAAAAAACAGCCAGGCGTTGTGGCAGACACCTGTAGTCCCAGCTACTCAGGAGGTTGAGGCAAGAGAATCGCCTAAGCCCAAGAGCTGGAGGTTGCTGTGAGCTGTAATGTCACAGCACGCTACCAAAGGCAATAAAGTAAGACTCTGTCCCTAAAAAAAAAAAAAAAAAGATTATTCCTGGCAGACTGTCTACTGGACAAACCCAACTGTTCCTAATTTTTTTTCTTTTCTTTTCTTTTTTTTTTTTGAGACAGTGCCTCAAGCTGTCTCCCTGGGCAGAGTG